AAATCTCCAGAATCCTGTCTGATGCTCTTCACTGTCTGATACCTTTAGAAATGAATTTGTGTTCCAGTATCTTCATTTTAAATCTGATCTAATGATCCTTTATCAGGACAGAAGCAAGCGTTGTGGGTATTGATACTCTGTGAGAATGCAGTTATGATCTGATATCTTGTTTATGTGAAATACATTGTGTGTGAGAGTCTGACTGCAGACGTACATGGTTAATGTAAAGTACAGTGCAGATCACAGAAGAACGTTTAGTTACATCTGGAACCTTCATTACACTCAACTGAACACATATACAACCCCATTTCCAAAAAGTTGGGACGCTGTGCAAAATGTAAATAAAAACAAAATGCAATGATGTGCAAATCCTTTAAATCCTGTATTTCATTGAAAATAGTGTAAAGACAACAAATCAAATGTTGAACCTGAGAAATTTTATTGTTTTTTGAAAAATATTTGCCCATTTTGAATTTGATGCCAACAACACATTACAAAAAAGTTGGGACGGGGCAACAAAAGGCTGGTAAAGTTGTGTAATGCTAAAAAAATGTTGATTGACCACAGGTCAGAAACATGATTGGGCATAAAAGAGCATCTCAGAGAGGCGGAGTCTTTCAGAAGTAAAGATGAGGAGGGGTTCACCACTCTGTGAAAGACTGCACCATCAAATAGTGCAACAATTCAAGAAGAACGTTTCTCAACATAAAATAGTAAAGAACTTCTGCTTTTCATCATCTACAGTACATAATAACATTAAAAGACTCAGAGAATCTGGAGAAATCTCTGTATGTGAGGGACGAGGCCAAAAACCAGAATATGCTGGTCGTGATCTTTGGGCCCTCAGACAGCACTGCATTAAAAACAGACATGATTCTGCAGTGGAAATCACTGCATGGGCTCAGAAACACTTCTGAAAACCACTGTCTGTGAAAACTGTTCATCACTGCATCCACAAATGACAGTTAAAACTCTAAAACACAAAGAAGAAACCAAATATAAACAGGATCCAGAAACACTGCCACCTTCTCTGGGCCTGAGCTCATTTGAAATGGACTGAGGGGAAGTGAAAAAGTGTCCTGTGGTCTGACGAATCAATATTTGAAATTCTTTCTGGAAATCATGGACACTGTGTCCTCCGGGCTAAAGACCACTCAGCTTGTTATCAGTGCACAGTTCAAAAGCCAGTATTCATGATGGTGTAGGGGGGCATTAGTGCACATGGTATGGGTGACATGCACATCTGTGAAGGCGCCATTAATGCTGAATGATATATACAGGTTTTAGCAACATAAGCTGCCGTCCAGACGACGCCTTTTTCAGGGAAGGCCTTGATTATTTCAGCAAGACAATGTCAACCCACATTCTGCATGTATTACAACAGCATTGCTCCGTATTAAGGGTCCAGGTGCTAAACTGACCTGCCTGCAGTCCAGACCTGTCACCACTGAAAACATTTGGCGCATTATGAAATTAAAAATATGACAAATGAGCCCCTGAACTGATGAGCAGCTGAAATCCTGTATCAAACAAGAGCAGAAAACATTTCACTTTCTAAACTACAGCAGTGTCTCCTCAGTCTACAAACGCTTACAGAGTGTTGATAAAGAAGAGGTGATGAAACCCCCGTCCCAACTTTTTTGAAATGTGTTGTTGACATCAAATTCAAAATGAGCGCATATTTTTTAAAGAACAATAAAATTTCCCAGTTTCAACATTTGATATGTTGTCTTTGTAGTATTTTCCTTTAAAAATATGGTTTACATGATTTGCTCATCAATGCATTCTATTTTTATTTACCTTTTGCACAGCGTCCCAACTTTTTTGGAAATGAGTTGTATTTAACGTACATTTTTTGACTATTTTCATACGTTGCAAAATTATATTTGATGAATATATTTGGAATGTGTTTTGTCCGTATGGGAAAGGCCGTCGCACACTGGACTGGAATTTCAAAACCATTGTTTTTAATGGACATGTGAGCACCAACACTGGCATTCTACGACTCCGAGCACTGTTCAGTTTCTCTGCATGTTCTCTGTGTGTAATGTTGCTGCTGGTTCTTGTTCTTATTTTCTCTCTCTTTTCTTTCTTGTTTAATATTGGCAACATCATAACATACATCAAACAAAGCAACGTCTGTACCTTCAAACCTCAGAACGCTGTAAAAGAACCACTTTACTGTCCTAAAGATCCTTTTAACTGACGGTTCTTTCAGCAGAAAACACTGTAAAACTGAAAAGTCAGCTGAAATTCAAATTATAAGGTCACTTATTACACACTAATCACGAGGATTAATGACAGCCTGAGCTTCTAAACCTGGATTAACAGAGAAAGTCGTTAAATCCAGTTAACTGCAGCTGAGACTGTTGAGATGAGTGACGCTGGAACGCTGATCACGGCATGTCAATAGCAGACGTCTCAGATGATCTAATGACGTTAATCTGAAGCAGATGACTGGGGGGGGCAGTTTTATAAGAGGAAAGATATCTTTCCTTTTTATTAAAACAATAAGCTCCAGCAGAGACTGAGCCGTTCTGTATATATAAATATCATATAAAATCTCACGCACATCATCTCTGAGCACGCCACAGTATAATCTATAGTTTACAGCCAAACTGTCTGTCAGTATCAGTCAGACTGATTTAGAGTCGTCCAGCGTGAGGAGCTCCAGCGGAACGAGCAGCACAGCCTGCAAGTTTTGTTTTCCTGGAAAATTTCAACATTATAAAAAATCCCATAAAAGTCAATTATGAAACCTTTTTAATGCAAATGATCATGTTTTCTTTGTTGGCTACAGCAGCTGACCTTCTTAGAGTCCAGCCCAGTTTCTTCAGAGGAAAACAGCCTCACATCTTAAAATCAGTGCCAGCAATTAAAAAAACAAATCAGTACATCAATCAAAAATCCCGCTGCACAAAAAACTGCTGCACACACAGAAAACACTGCGTCCAAATGTCAAAGACGACTGAAACGAAATTTTGGAAATCTAATTTTTAAACTATAATTTGAATGTAATATATTACAGCTGAGATCAACAAGACAAAGCAGACAACAGTTAGAAACTGTGAGAATTTATACGACTGAACTCGAGAATTTTACTCTGCAGTTGAATTATGTATGGTTTATTGTGGTGCTGTTTGTTTTTGATCATAAAAACACAACTGAAGATGCTTCTATTTTTCATTCTTTTCTAATTTAATACAAAGTTTTTATTACAAATGATGTAACACTAATAGCATAACAATGTGAGTGAGAAGTCTTTGAAATATGAACATGAATTTCAGAATTTCGTAGTATTTGGTGGGGTCATGTCTAGGCATGGAAATTATATAATTAAGGCTTGACCCCAGCTCAATAAGGCATGATCTCATTCCCACACCTTACTAAGTCATGGCCATGGCTTAATTATCTAGTTTCCATGCCTTACTAAGCCGTGGCCATGCATTAGGATCTTGTTCCCACACGTTAATACAGAGTTTACAATATTTCTTCAACATTTTAATTGTTATAACTTTTCTTTGTTTCAATATTCAAAATTCTAAAACTTTGTCGGTATAAAAAAATTCCAGATTTTTAATGCAGTCTCAGACTTTTTAACTCTTTAATGCCTGAACACAAAACTCTGATCTGCTCTTCTCTTTAATTGCAGGACTTCTTGACGCTGCTGGATCCATTCTGACCTGTGAATAACATAATCTAACAAACCCGATCCAAAAAAGATCAATTAAACAAACACACAGGAATCTGCTTCACTCTTAAGTGGCCTTTTATTGATCCTCTCATGGAGCAGATCAATACTAAGCGTTTCCATAGTGATGTGATTGTTGTATCACTAGACTTTAATCAGCTGAAGGAGACGAACATGAGAAACGGGCTGAACCTGATACGGTGTGGAGAACACGGTTAATCTCAGGTTATTCAGAACAGATAAAGAAAACATGATCGTCTGCGTTAAAAGCAGTTTTGAAAGCTGAGCGTCTCCAGAGGTTCAACAGGAACCTTTCAGCTCCTCCTCCATCCCTCCATCCCTGCTCTGTGGAGAGAGGAGTGAGGAGGCCGAAAGGTGTTTTTGGCCAGACGCTGTGCTGAGGAGCCCTCAGGGCTGAGTCTGAAACAGGAGAACAGCAGGAGAACCATTCTCAATCTGACCTCCTCTGTACTCTCAGCTGCGTCCAGTCTGAGCAGATACAACGCTGACCAGGTGTCTCCAAATACCTCAGCGGCTCTCAGGTTCCAGCAGGAGCTCCACAGAAATCAGTCAGTCAACAGTCCTGTTTGGTTCATGCAGCCGTTTCTGCTCAGATCATTCTGCAGTGCTGAATGTTCAAATTTTCCCCCCGACATCGTCGTTACCTGCGTCCTGAACTGGGACTTTACTAAGCCATAAAGTGGGAACTCTTGGGCCAGATTAACCCAACAGCACAAATAAACAGTTCAATCTGCCTATTTGTTCCCTCCAAAATGTTTATAATACCGTTTTCCTGCATTATTTTATATATTTTTATTTATGTTTTTATAAACTATTTTGCAGTTTGGACAGAAACCTTTGTCTTACAGCAGAAAAAGTAGGTTCATAAGAATAAATACAACATTATTATTACTATTTTAATTCTTATTTCATTCACGCATACACTGGTAGGACTAACTGGTTGTAGTTTTTTTGTCAGGGAATGAAGCTAATGTTAGCAAGGTGGCTATTTTTTCCTGGTTTTGATTAGCTGTCACACAGACTGGCTCTAAATGTAGGTATTGTGATATAAACTGAGTCTGTTCTACAGTTTCTCATTAGACTGAATGAATAACCGACTCTAAATGTAGGTATTGTGGTATAAACTGAGTCTGTTCTACAGTTTCTCATTAGGCTGAATGAATAACCGACTCTAAATGTAGGTATTGTGATATAAACTGAGTCTGTTCTACAGTTTCTCATTAGGCTGAATGAATAACCGACTCTAAATGTAGGTATTGTGATATAAACTAAGTTCTGAGGTTCTCACCAGGTCTTTGATGCTACCCAGTACAGCAGTGGTCAGAATTGCGAGGATGAAGGCCAGCAGGTTTAGGAGAGTCAGGATCCAGATCAGAACGTACAGACTCAGGACGTCCTCGCAGCTCTGCACCCCCACAAACTCGTAGTAGTTATTCAGGTATCCCCCACTGCAACACAGGAAACAATAATAATGAAATACATATTATATAAATAATTATTATAAATAAATACAAAAATAAAATCAATATAACCAATAATCAATCAGAACAGGAGAAAAACGTTTTGGCTATTTGATGCTCGCTTTATTAGGGCTGTCCAGTATGTAATATTAATCATTATCACAATATTAGCCTTTTACAGAAGGCTGCGTGAAGCTAATGAGCACCTAAACCAATTTCAATTAATTTTCTTTTGTTTTGTTTTTTAATAAATAAAATGGCTTTACACGATATTTTTGAAAATATTGCACACGTTTTACATTTTTTTCTCAATATTGCTTTTTTAAAAATGTCTTTTTGATTTTGTTTACAGTGAAGTTGAAAGGTTTCGATTTTCTAAGTTTAATTAAAAAAAAAAACACTCCCATATTTTCATCTCACTACTGAAGCACAGTTTTTGTATGTAGGCGTTTTGTATGGCCACATGGTGAGCAGGTAGATCCCATTGTTTTGAAGTAAATCTGTCCCAAAGTCTGAAAATCAGTGTGGAACATTAAGAACCGTCAGATTTTCTGCAGTTCAGCACTTTTTAGTGTTTTAATGTAAAATATGATGATTTTCTGTGTGAACAGCTGTTCAGAGCTGTGTTTGCTGGTCATGAACTGCTGAGTTTCTGAGCTCAAAATGAGCTAAAACTGTCACTGAAACAGTCACTACTGAAACAGACACTACTGAGACAGTCACTACTGAGACAGTCACTACTGAAACAGTCACTAGTGAAACAGACACTACTGAAACAGTCGCTACTGAAACAGACACCACTGAAACAGTCACTACTGAAACAGTCACTACTGAAACAGTCGCTACTGAGACAGACGCTACCGAAACAGTCAATACCGAAACAGACACTACTGAGACAGTCACTACTGAGACAGTCACTACTGAGACAGACACTACTGAGACAGACACTACTGAGACAGTCACTACTGAAACAGTCACTACTGAAACAGACACTACTGAGACATTTGGTACAGTTTGGGTAGTTATGATTGTTTTGGTAGTGACAGAATGGAATATTGAATTAGTTTTAATAAAATCATAATTAAGGTTTAGAGTCACTCAGAGCTAAAGGATTTAGTCTAAAGTCCAAGATCAGTTAAAATAAGGCTCTGACTCTGAGTCAGTTCAGTAGGGTGGTCCAGTTAATCCTGGAATGATCCAGTAAGCTTTAATACAGTGAGCAGGTCTGATTACAGTGTAGCGCAGTGCTGTATCGGTGTGACTCACTTTGCGCAGTCGTACAGGTCGCAGCAGTAACAGGTTCCACTACGAACCTTCAGGCTGCAGGACTCGGTCAGGCCCTGACACGGAACCTACAGCAGCACATAGACACAAATATGTTTATTTATTAATAATACATTATTAACAAACACAAACACTGTGCCCGGTCATGATCACTGACTTAAAAAACCTGACCTTCATTTATTTATTTTGATACTTGATACTCAGCAGTTTAGGTTTAATAACAACAACAAAACAATTGTAATAGCAACATTTTCACACAGTAATTTTGAGACGCTCCCCAACTCTGAAACAAAGTGACCGCATATGAGTTGAAGCTTAATCTTTGTAAAATAAATAAATTAAAGCATAAAGAGAGAAAATTATAAACAACAAATCCCAGAGCAAAAAGAATCCCAGTCACTCTGTGTTTGAGGAAATATAGAAAGGCTTTATTAACACTTAAAATGTTGTTACTCAGGCCGCCATCAGGACACACACTGGCCAACTGGGACTTGGGTTTGTCATTTGGGCAGTAAAAGTTATGGATGTACTAAACTATCATCTTGAACTTGTCTATGAAGCTGTAATTAATCTAGTCAGAAAGAAGAAGAACTGCAAATATCACAAACATCACCGTTTGTCTTTTGTCATTGTCCTGATTGTTTAAGAGCTGAGACTGATGGTGTTCTGACTCTGTTGTGTCCAATGAGTGAGTCACAGCCTCATAACTCCGGATGTGAGTCTCGTATGATCTCGTTACAAGATGGAATGGAAAGGGCGACTCTACAGATTCAGGAAGTGTTTGAACTGGATTTCTGAGCTGGATCATCACAAACATACAGACACGGATACAGAAACAGGGAATTTGATGCGTTGGCGCCTTCGTCGACCCCAGAGGTTTAATAAAAGCAAAACGTGTTCGTTAAAAGCCGATTTACCGAGGCGTAGTAGTTCTCGTACATGTAGCTGTTCCCGCTGGTGTAGAACTGGCATCTTCCAGCCTTCATTGGACGCATATCCTACAGAGAGGAGAGTGGGAGAAAGACGGGGTCACAAACAGACCGAAACAAATCTCACAGCAGCGTTTAAACTCTGGAGCTTTGCCAGATTAAAACATCAGAGTCGTCCAGCAGATTTATGTTTCAGAGTCTTATATTAATCATCTCCTCCACACAAACTCAGCAGCAGCCCTGCAGCAGTGCAAATATAAATGTTCCCCCAGAGAAAAGACACCAAATCCCATCTGCGCTGTGAACCGGAGCGAACTGACCACACAGTCCAGACAGTTAGCTTCTAATTAACCATTTCACTGGGCAGTGTCCCACGCCTGCACACCGGTCAGCCACCGCTGTGGAGCGGTAATATGTCTTCTGATTGTCCAGCCAATCCACAGTGTGTGCATTTTTGGAGCACCAATGAGAACCCCTCTAGGGGAACCTTCTCAGAGCCTCTTCAGTGTGGTCACCAACCCTGAGATCTGCCTTCCTGAAGACTTCACTTCCCATCCTGAACACATTCAAATCATTAGTCCACAGAATCAGCTGGACTGGAGCTGAGTTCTGCAGGAAGGGCCGAGGCTGGTGACCCACTGCTCTGCACAGACTCTCCACAACCTCCACAGATCTTTACAGAACCTGTACAGAAATGCTAAAAACCTCTATAGAACCTCTACAGAAACTCTATTGAAACTCTACAGGAACTTTACAGGAACTCCAGACAAACTCTACAGAATTTGAATAAAACCTCTACAGGAACTCTACAAAAACGGTACAGATTATAACAGAACCTCTACAGAAATTCACCAGAACCTTTATTCAGCCTCTACAGAAACCCATTGAAACTCATCAGGAGCCAGATAAAAACGACTACAGGAACTCAGTAAAACATCTTTTTTTGCAATTTTTGAAATTTTGCAAAACCTTAACAGAAACTCTACAAAACATTTACAGAAATTCTACAAAATCTTTACAGAAACTCTACAGTAATGTAATCTGTAATGTTTATGCTGTTTAACATAACCTGGGATTATTTCTACAGTTTGTTACATCATATAAAAGCCATCATGAATAATCCCTCAGTGATGAGTCTGATTGACAGTGAAGTGTCTGTTGATCTCACAATGTTAAGCAGGATGAAGACGCCGTCCACCACCAGACACAGGAAGCTGGTCAGGATCCCCACACTCAGGAACACTATAGCTGCAATCAGCTGAGGGAGAGACAGAGAGAGAGACAGAGAGGGGGAGAGAGAGAGAGAGAGAGAGAGAGAGAGAGAGAGAGAGTAATTAACCTAACACTAACCCTGAGCTTAAGTAAGCAGTAGAACAGCCAAATTCGTCCCACCCAAAGTGTTGACTTTGTCTGTACTCACAGAAAAGAACCGATCAATATAAATAATCTATAACTCTTGATTGCGCAGCTCGGCTCCAGAGGCAGTGATGCAACAGGCTTCTAATAACAGAGTGAGTGAAGCGGTGAAAAGAGAGAGAGAGCAGTGAAATGGAGAAGAGCGTCGGGCCTGGTTTGAATTTTACAGGTTCCTTTACTCGCCACGTTATCGTTTCAGCAGGAGAGTGGACGCTCGGCTGGCCGACCTCACTGACCTCCTGAATTACTGACCATTTCTCTGGACAGACGCCTCCACTCAGAGTTTAGACTTCTGTGATCCGAGGAAGAAAGGGGGAGAACCAGAGCAGCGCTGAAGATAAAGCAGGAGAAGAACATGAGCTGCTTTGGTTGGACTGTCAGAGTTAACGACAGAGTTTGGCTTCCTTCTGTCACTCAGTACCTAAAACCCTACACCCTTAAAAAGAGGGTTCTTCAAGGGTTCTTTAGTGAAGACTGTGGTCCTATATAGAACCATGAACACTCAAAGAACTGTTTGCATTCTTAAATGGTTCTCTGCATGGTTAAATGGTTCTTCATATTGATGGAGAATGTGTTGAATATGGTTCTATATGGCACCAAAAGGGTTCTTCTATGGTTACAAGCTTAACATTATAACAATAGAAGAACCCTTTTTGGTGCTTTTTTTAAAAAGGTTTTATATATAAACAACACATTCTCCATCAATTTGAAGAGCAGTTTCACCATGCAGAGAACCATTTAAGCATGCGAACAGTTCTTTGAGTGCTCATGGTTCTATATAAAGGTTCTACATACATTCTTATTCTTTTTTAAGAAACTATATAAATCTCATTCTTACAGTCTGGAAAATGTTTTAACAGAATGATGGTTCCTTTCAGAGCTGAGCCAAAATCTCCAGCTGATAAAACAGAGAAGCACCTTCAGACTGAAGCTGTACCAATTCTTAGGTCCGGTTCTGTTTTGGTCGGCGTGTATAATAATTGTGTTTTATGACTCCTTCACTGTTCTTCCAGATCTGTTTCAGCAGAGCCGGCGAGGCTCGTGAGTCAGTTCAGGTTATCCAACACAAACTGCCCCCTCAATCAACCAATTCAGCAAATGTTGTTGGTAGTTGGGATCAATTAAACGACACAGCCTGACCTGATTAATATCACTGCCAGCACTGCTGAAACTAAACAGCACTTCAACAGAACCTTTCCAGCATTTGAAGTTGGCTAAAAGGTCTCACCACACTAGGCCTCAGTCAAAACAAGAATGACGTAACAAAAAGAGAGTTTTTAAAACAAATTTTAGACTGAAAAGGATACAAAGCCATGTTTTGAAGTTTTGGGTCTCCAACGAATCAAACTGAGAACTGTTATCTCCAAAATGGAGAAATGCTGGAACGGTGGTGAATCTTCCCAGAAGTGGCCAACCTACCAAAATTCCTCCAAGAGCACAGCAACGACTCATGCAGGAAGTCACGCAAGAACCCACGCAAGATTCTACTGAAAAGTCGGCCTCGCTCGCCTCAGAAAAAGTCAGCATTCATGGCTCCACAATTAGAACGAGACTAGTAACAAGACCATTTTAAGCGTGTTAGAGTCGTGAGGCTCATTAAGGCTTGTCTCACATTTGCCTAAAAACATCTTGATGAGCCCTCAAGCCTTTTGGGTTCTGCAGCAAGACAACGATCCAAAGCACAAGAGCAAGTCCAGCACTGAGAGACTCAAAAGAAAGAAAATGAAGGTTTTGGAGAGGCCCAGTCAAAGTCCTGACTCAAACCCCGTTGAGATGCTGTGGCACGACTTTAAAGGGGCAGTTCATGCTCAAAAGCCCTCCAGCATGAATTAAAGCAGCTCTGGGCTGAAACTTCTCCACAGTGATGTGAAAGACTGAACTCCAGCTATAGGAAGCGTTTAGTTGCAGTTGTTGCTGCACAACCAGTTATTAAGTTTAGGGGGCAATTACTTTCACACGGGTGATGTGGACGTTGCAAAGCTTTTTTTTCTTTCAATCAATGAAATGATCATTTGACAAAAAGCCTGTTTTGTGTTTCCTCGTGTTCTCTGTGTCTCTATCTGAGGATCTGATACCATTTAGTGACAATAACATGGAAATGGAGGAAATCAGGAGGGGTGAATACTTTTTCACAGCACCGTGCAGACTGGAGACAAAAACAGTTTACACTACATTTGGATTACACACCGACTCAGGATCAGAGTTACATATACAGTAACATTTACAGCAAATATACAGTAAATTAAACCTAAATATTTATATTTTTCATTGATGTTCAGTTTGCACTTTTCCCCCATGAGCTTGTGCTAAATAAATAAATAAATAAATAAATAAATAATCTCAGTGGTGACTGTTTCAGTGGTGACTGTCTCAGTGGTGACTGTTTCAGTAGCGTCTGTTTCAGTAGTGACTGTCTCAGTGGTGACTGTTTCAGTGGTGACTGTCTCAGTGGTGACTGTCTCAGTAGTGTCTGTCTCAGTAGTGACTGTCTCAGTGGTGACTGTTTCCGTAGTGTCTGTTTCAGTAGTGACTGTCTCAGTAGTGTCTGTCAGTAGTGACTGTTTCAGTAGTGTCTGTTTCAGTAGTGTCTCTCAGTAGTGTCTCTCAGTAGTGTCTCTCAGTAGTGTCTGTCAGTAGTGACTGTTTCAGTAGTGTCTGTCTCAGTAGTGTCTCTCAGTAGTGACTGTTTCAGTAGTGACTGTTTCAGTAGTGACTGTTTCAGTGGTGACTGTTTCCGTAGTGTCTGTTTCAGTAGTGACTGTCTCAGTAGTGTCTGTCAGTAGTGACTGTTTCCGTAGTGTCTGTTTCAGTAGTGTCTCTCAGTAGTGTCTGTCAGTAGTGTCTGTCAGTAGTGACTGTTTCAGTAGTGTCTGTCTCAGTAGTGTCTCTCAGTAGTGACTGTTTCAGTAGCGTCTGTTTCAGTGGCGACTGTCTCAGTGGTGACTGTTTCAGTAGTGTCTGTTTCAGTAGTGACTGTTTCAGTAGTGTCTGTTTCAGTAGTGACTGTTTCAGTAGTGTCTGTCTCAGTAGTGTCTCTCAGTAGTGACTGTTTCAGTAGCGTCTGTTTCAGTAGTGACTGTCTCAGTGGTGACTGTTTCAGTGGTGACTGTTTCAGTGGTGACTGTCTCAGTGGTGTCTGTTTCAGTAGTGACTGTTTCAGTAGTGACTGTTTCAGTAGTGTCTGTCTCAGTAATGTCTGTTTCAGTAGTGTCTGTTTCAGTAGTGACTGTTTCAGTAGTGACTGTTTCAGTGACAATTTTAGCTCATTCTTTGAACAGCTGTTCACACAGAAAATCATCATATTTTACATTAAAACACTAAAAAGTGCTGAACTGCAGAAAATCTGACGGTTCTTAATGTTCCACACTGATTTTCAGACTTTGGGACTCATTTACTTCAAAACAATGGGATCTAACTACTCACCATGTGGCCATGAGGGACAGGGATGCAGCCTCACTTCCTGCTCTGAAATGCAGGGGCGTGGCTACAATAAGACTCTCTGTTTCAGTGGTGACGATTCTCACTGTTTTACACTGATTTTTAAGCCGGGACACATTTACTCCCAGTCAGAGAGATCTCACCATGTGGCTGTGAGTGATTGTCTTTTGAGCATGGGAGTGTCTATAGAATAAGCCCCGCCCCCTTTCTCTGATAGGCTGCCTAGTTTTCATCGTTTCGTTGACAGTAAATTCCACAGGAGCTGTCAGTAAATAGGACTGACTGTAGTTCAGCTCAGTGTGTGAAGAGCATAAACTGCAGAGAACACAGTGTGAAACCTAATATTGAGTCAGGACTGCGCCGATTTTGCAGAACAGAATATTGTGATGGATATAATTCACCAGGGTTGCTATCGGTCAGCACTGGACACTGTTCTAATCTTAAATAAGCCAAGATCTTCAGAGCCAAGCATCACATTCTCAGGGGGTCTGTCAGCAGAACCGCACACTGATAAATTCCTTCCTTATCTGCAGACGAGCTCCGGGAGATCATCAGAGCTCCTATAAAAACAGCTCAGCTTTAAAATGTGCTGTAAATTACACAAACAGCTGGACTCTACTGACCCCTCCACACTGCGGCCAAGAGAAACTGACCCCTGCAGCAGAGAGAGGGGAGAAATGAAAGAGTGGAGAGAGAGAGGGAGAGAAAAGAGGGAGGACAGCAGAGTAAAGCAGTGGAGCTGGAGGTCAGTCACGGTCAGTGGAGAGTGGAGCGGAACCTGAAGCTCTGTTCTTATTTTAGCCCCTCAAACCGGCTCCTGTTCGGGTAATTTCCCCATAATCCCCCTCTATTACAGGGCAGCTCCCTGCAGTAAATCAGATAAGCAGAGCTGCGGGGGTCAGGCTACTCAATGGGCTGCCAGATTGAGTGAAGACCCTCATCTACGTGCTCCTTTACAGGCCTCTAGTAAAACATGCAGCCTGTGTGGCAGCTGGGCCTCATTAACCTCCAGCTGTTTCTCCTTCAGTGTAAATTATGGAACAAAGCCTGAATCTAGAACCTCAGTTCCCCCGTAGGGCTGGATATGGATGGAGAGTGACCTCTCTGATTGCTCAGGGACGTGGGCAGTGGGGTGCTGAGAGGGCTGCAGCATTCTCAGAGTTCTACATTGTTTAACTGCAACTGCTAAAATAACCTTTTTAGTAAAAACACAGTTTGTATGTTTATTTTGTTGTATTGTAAATGTTTGATTCCACTGGCTCAGAGTCAGAGCTGAAGCCCTGCTGTGATTCTAAACCTTAATTGTTATTAATTTATTAAAACTAATGATTGATCGTTCCATTTAGTCACTACCAAAACAGCCATAACACCAAACTTTACCAAATGTTCCAGCAGTGACTGTTT